AGGAGGACCTGAGTTCAAATCCGGCCTCAGATCAGACACTTGACACTTACTAGCTGTGTGACCCTGGGCAAGTCACTTAAGCCCAAATGCCTCACCAAAAAAAAGACTGTCTTTAATCATGCCAAGAGCTTTAATCGGGCCAGATCTGGCAGAGCAAAGTCACATGACCTGAGCCAAGTCCCTTAAGCTTGACTAATGGAAAAGAGGAAGAGTTGAGAAAAAAGGGGCTATGCAGGGTTCTGAGCTGGGAGCACTGTGTGCAGGACCACCCACTGCAGAGGCTTGCAGCTACAAAATGAGCAATTTATCTCAGAGAGTGGATTAGTGGTGCCACTCAACCTGGATTAAGGTCTGACATTTCCCTGGTTCACTGCAGAATTCTATGAACATTGGACTTTCTATTACATCCAGGAAAGAAAAACGACTTTCTTCTAATGCAAATAGTGAGATGCAAATGCTCTAAATGGCTGGAACTGAGTCAGAAACCTAAACTGGGCCATGGCATGGTTCATTTCCTGACCTAGATAAACCAAAGTAGCTATACATCAACTCCCTAAACAATGATATATTGATGGTAAAATTGACCAAAGAGATCACAAATGCTGAAATAGATTCTGTTCCCTTTTACTCTATGGGTGGGGTAAGAATCTGGATCTCAGAAGATTTGGAACTGCTCTTAGATGCAACAAACACAGATGAGATATGAGAAGTAAAAAGTACCTGCTGTATGACTGTCTCCAGCAACAGAAGCTAGCCATAAACTGTGCTCTAACATGCTGAAGGCTGGACTAAGGCTCAGTTACCCACCATAAGACCAAGTTAAACTTTGTTTCACTAACTGCCATTTGAATAATTCTCTAGAATAATTAATAGGAGTGAGGAAGGTATGTGTGGCCACAAGGGGGACTTTGGAGTCTCTTTCCTTTCTTTTTTTAAATTGTATTTATTTTATTTTTAATTTATGGAATAAAATAAACATTTCAATAACAGTATAATAGAAAAAAACACACATGAAACTGCAAGTCTATTATGAACAATTTGCTACTCCTTTTAAATATATAATAAAGTTATCATGTAAATTTCTTTTTTTTTCTTTTTTTCCTTTTTTTTTCTCCCCTCTCCTTGCCCTGGAGATGGCTACCATCAGATACGTGTGTGTGTGTGTGTGTGTGTGTGTGTGTGTGTGTGTGTGTGTGTGTAAACTCATTCTGCATACCTCTATCAGTTCTTTTTCTGGATGCAGATAACATCTTCCTTCATAGGCCCTTTGTAGTTAATTTTGGTATTTATAATAGTCAAAATGACTTACTAGAGCCTCCTTTCCATAGCTATAGAGTGCAAATACTTTCGAGACACTTCAACCCAAAACATGGAAAGTAGAAACAAATATGTAAATATTATTCCTGAGTGAATAAATGATTCATGATGGGGTGATGGTCCCACACCAGTTTGTTTCTGATCAAATTCCATCTAGAGTATGATGCTTCAGTCTGGGCACCACATATTGGAAGGGACATAAGCTTTCTGGAACACACCCACAGGAAGAATCACAGAATTGGAGAGTTGAAAGGGACCTCAGTAACCATTTAGTCTAACCCATACTTGAAAGGAAGCCCTACCATAACACCCCAACAAGCTGTCGTCCAACCTTTGCTTGAAGACCTTCAAGGAAAAGAGATCCATCATCTTTTGAGATGAACCATTCTTCTTTTGGACATCTCTAATTGTTAATAAATTTTCCCTAAAAGCCAGCCAAAATTGGCCTCCCTGCAATTTCCAACCATTGTTTCTACTAGGTAATCCCCATGGACAGAATGTCATCTTGGGCTGGGAGGTTCTAACAGTGGCTCTGGAATTCTAACAATAGAAACATGCTTGCAGTTACCAAACATGCCTTGAGAATCATTACTTGAGAATCATGACCAAGACAGAACAATCAGGACCTAGGAGACTCCGATCATCATAAGACGAGTTTTAGGTTTTACTTGAAGATAGTTTGTCTTTCAGAAAACATAACTACAGCTCAGACTCCTAAGACCCTGGCCCATAGGGCTAAGACAGAACTTTTGCTTTCCCCAGGAATATATGCATTCTTGTCATTTCTTATCACAAGGGCTGGTAAAAAGCAGTTTTTTCTGTTTTGGTCAGAAACCCTGAAGGTCTTTCTCCTCTCAGATTGATTTTTCTTCTTTTCTGACTAGGTAAAGAGGCCATTCTTCGCCTCATTTCTTACCTCGCCTTAATCACTGAATGGCAATGCCTCAGACACACTTGAGACATGTTAAAGACCTTAGCTTAAAAAGGCCAAGGCCTCCCACTGCTTCTAGGACCATCTCCATCTATACCTCGCCACTGGACCCAGACGGCTCTGGAGGAAAAAGTAAAGCTGGTGACTTTGCACAGCTCTCCCACGCTTAAATCCAATTCACTTGCACGTCATGGCATCACCTCCCTAATATGGCCTTCTTCAAGAATGAAGGACAAAAAACAACTTCTGACCCCTTGGGCCAAAGAGAACAAGTTTCCTCCTTCCTCCACTAGACAGCCCTTCAAATATGTGATCACAGATATCAGGTTCCCCCCGAGTCTCCTCTTTGACCAAGCTAAACATGCGTAGTTTCTCCAACTGATCTTCATATGTCATGAACTTGTCAAGGCCCTTCATATTCCTAGTTGCCCCCCTAGACACTATCCAGCATTCTATCTATGTCCTGCTTAAAATATAGCTCTCTACACTATTACTGGAAGCTAAACCCCTTGGGCTGAACTAGCTTTTTTGGCTGCCACATTACACTGACAACAACTCTTGAGCATGCAGTCCACTAAAATCCCCAGATCTTCTTCGGGACAACTTCTGTCTATTCATACCTCCCCTAGGCTATAATTGTGGAGTTGATTTTTTTTGTACCCAAGTGTAAGAATTTCCATTTCTCTCTATTGAATTCCATTGTATTAGATTAAGCCCAACACCTTAGCCTTCCTTCAGCAGCCTTTCAAATTCTGTCTCTGTCATCCATAATTAGTTATCCCTTCAGCTTTGTGCCACTTGCAAATTTGATGAACATACTATCTGTGCCTTTATCCAAGCCCTTGATTTTTATCATATTAAATGGCACAGGACCAAGCACAGCTCCTTGAGGTACTCCATTCAAAATCTCCTGCCCCATAGACATTAAAGCTTTAATAACTACTCTTTGACTCCAGCCATTCAATCAGTTTTGAATCCATCTAATGGTGTTGTTTGCCTAATCCCTATCTCTCCATCTTCTTCTAGAGAACAGTATGAGATATTTTATCAAAAGATTTGCTAAAATCTAGGTAAACTATACCTACAGCCTCCCCCTCATCTTCTAGTTTAATAACCCTCCCCCCAAAATGCAATGACGTTAGTCTGGTATGAGCTGCTCTTAACGATTCGTGTAGCCTCTTTGTAATCTCTCAGATTTCCTTTTCTGAATGGACTCTAACCACCTCTTTAATGGTCCTTTCAAGAATTTTCCCAGGAACTGAAATCAAGCTCTCTGGCCTATAATTTGCAAACTCTTTTCTTTTCCCTCTTTTGAAAGTCAAGATGACATTTGCCTTTCTCTGTAGTGACCCAATAGAGCCCTGGGCTTTGGATCAGGAAGGCTTACCTTCCTGAGTTCAAATCTGGCCTCAGATACTTACTAGCTGTGTGACCCTGGGAAAGTCATTTAACCAATTTGCCTCAGTTTCCTCATCCGTGAAATAAGCTGGAGAAGGACATGGCACACTTCTCCAATTTCTCTGCCAAGAGAACCCCAAATGGTGTCACGAAGAATTGGACATGACTGAACAACAACAACAAATTCTGTGGTATCTTTCTAGTTCATATGCTACTAGCAGTTATTCAGCAATCACATCTGCCAGTCCTATCAAGAGCGGAAGATATAGTTCAACTGAGACATATGACCTGAATCCATTAAGGTCACCTACATATTCTCTTATCTCCTTGCTTATCTTGGGTAACACTTTCCTGTTAGTGATTTTTCTCCCCTGTCATTTCCAGAGTAAAGATCTTTCTTCTTTCCAGAAAAACAAACAAATAAAAGAAGAAAACAGTAAGGAAAACCCTTATGGATTCAAATTCATGCCATATGAGGATTTTTCAAAGCATTTGGGGATGTTTAAGGCAGAGAAGAGATTTCAGAAGGGACCAAGAGTTGCATTGAAATAGTTTAATCACAGTATATAAGAAGGATTTCTTATCCTCAGAGTTCAAAACTAAGACCAATGGGTAGAATTTTCAGAAAGGCAGGTTTCATTACAATAAATAAAAAAAAATTGTCAAACAAAGGAATAGAAAAGAGGTAGTGAGTATGTAAGGGTTGGTCTAGAACAAGGGTGGGGAACCTGTGGCCTTGAGGCTACATGTGGCCATCTAGGTCCTCAAGTGTGGCCCTTTGACTGAATCCTAACTCCACTAAGGTTCCCCACCCCTGGACTAGAAAATTATTCAGGTTCTTCCCACTCAGATCCCATGAATATTTTTAGTCAACATTAAGGCAAAGGAAAGTTTTCCCCAATTATTAAAAAAGTATTAAACTTCTAGGCATTTTTAAGTCTCCAAGCTTTAACCAGAGGAGGCAGGTAGGTGGTTCAGTGGATAGAAAACTGGGCCTGGAGTCAGGAAGACTTCAGTTCAAATCTAGCCTCAGACACTTACTTTCTGGGCAAGTCACTTAACCTCTATTTGCCTTAATCCACTGGAGGAGGAAATGGCAAACTGCTCCAATATCTTGCCAAGAAAACCTCATGGACATGGACAGTGTGGTCCACAGGGTCACAAAGAGGTGGATACAACTGAACAAAAAGCTTTAACCAGATTCAGGAAAAAGACAAAACTCCTCATCAATAAAAAAAAAATTTTGACCTTCTGCATAAAAGTTTCCCTAGGGTGGTTGGAGGCATGCAAAGAGATGACCATAACTCTTCAGAGCGAAAGGTATGAAGAAGTCAGTTCTTTTTCTACCCTGTAGGTGGTAGCAGTGACTGATTATCACATCCATGGGCCTCTGGAGCTGCTGCCCCACAGGAATGATCGACTCCAGGTCCTTTGCCGAGAAGGCGAAGAAAGGAGGTTTGGCCGCCTCCAGAATGGGCCACAAGGACAGCCCCAGGCCAAAAACACAGGCAGACATGGTAAGTAAGCCCTGTTACCCTTCTGAGCATCTATGAGGTCTATATAGGTTTAAGTTCTGAGCATCTGCCCATCATATGTGGGGCAACGAGGATTGGGAGTCTCACCTAGATCATCCCAGCAATTCAAATACTGGCACAGATTAGGGAAGTCTATTTATCTGTCTGATTTTGAGCAATTGGAGGAATCTCATTCCCCAAGATCCTCAATATGACAGAAGATGCCAGCCTTGCCATATGTGGAAAAGGGAGAAGAGAGAAAGAGGATGTGCTTGCATGAAGATTTTCCAAGCCAACATATTCTTTCCTGTTTCCCTCCAAAAGATGACTCATTTAAAAATGAGTCCAAGTATTCAGTTCTCCCATCATAAGGAGGGTCCACGTTGATCCAGATACAAATTAGATGGAGTTTTACAGGCCCTCAGATCTAAGCATCCTTTTTTTAAATTTAATTATGAACTAAAGGACAAGGCTCCCGAATTTTCAGTTTTATCCAGCATGAAAGGAAGGGGGTCTACTGTCCTTCTTGAATCAGTAAAAACTTTTTTGGATTTCTAAAAATGGCAACTGACTTCATCCAGTAACATTTCATCTACTCCAGCTAAGCATCTGGTATGGCTTAATGGGTAATGGAATGAGCACTAGATTTATAGACAGAGACCTAGATTTGAATCCTGGCTCTGCTATTTACAGGGTATGTAACATTTTGTCCTTTGGTCCTCAGTTTCCTAATCTGGATGAAGAGGTATGAATTAACCATTAGGGGCCCTCTAAACCCTATGTTCCTGTGACCTAGTTTACTAAGATGTTGTGAGAATAAGCAGGGTAATATGTGGGAAGCACTAGGAATTTGATGCAAAAGGGATACCACATTCAACAAACTTTTATTAGGTCCCTACAATGGGCAAGTCAGTGTCAGGCTCTGGAAATTTGTTGTTGTCAAGTCATTTTTCAGTCATATCCAATTCTTTGTGACCCTATTTGGGGTTTTCTTAGCCAAGATACTAGAGTGGTTTACCATTTCCTTCTCCAACTCATTTACCAGATGAGGAAACCAAGGCAAACAGGGTTAAGTGACTTGCCTAGGGTCACACAGCTACTAAGTGTGTAAGGCCATATTGGAACCCAGGAAGATGAATCTTCCTGACTGCAGGCCTGACACTCAATCTACTGTACCACCTAGCTACCCCAGACTATGAGAATGTAAAGATTGGGGGGAAAAAAAAAGGGAAAGCTGTCCTTACCTCAAGGAGCTTAATAAGCACCCCTCATCAAAAAATTAACTATCAAATCATCCAATTAAAATGCATTTTAAAATTCTATCCCCTCTCTGGTCTGATCTATGTTTCAATCTGAGTAAAAAAGAATCAGAAGATATCCACAGCTATCATTACTACTCTCTTAAATTGTTATATCTTTCTTTTCGTTGATTCTATCACCATATTCCAAAAGGCAATAGTTGGCAGAGGTGGTATTGAGAATTGGAAATCATATTGGAATATGCTAAAACAGTGGTTCTCAAACTTTTTGGTCTTAGGACCCATCTACACTCTTTTTTTTGGTTTTGTTTTTGTGAGGCAATAGGGATGAGTGTCAAGTGTCTGAGGCCAGATTTGAACTCAGGTCCTCCTGACTCCAAGGCTGGAGCTCTATCTACTGCAACACCTAGCTGCCCCTACCCATCTACACTCTCAAAGATTATTGAGGAGCCCTCCCAAAACAGCTTTTGTTTAAGTAGGTTATATCTATACATTTTTAGTATATTAGAAATTAAAATGTCTTCATATTATTATGAAAATAGTTTTGACTTCATGGACTCCCTAAAAGGGTTTCAATCCCTGGGCCACACTTTGAGAATCACTGTTCTAGGACATAATCATGGTTTAAAATTACCAAGATTCTCTCAGTAGATACATCTGTTTCTGAAAGACCATGGATCCTTTTTTTCATAGGATGCTCTCTAATCTTGGAAGGCCTGATAAGTCAGGAAGTAGAGGACACCTATAAGATGAAGATTCATCTAACATACATACAGGACTCTTCTATTCCTCCTCCAAAGGAGTAACTCTGACACAAGAAAGGGTCCTTCTTATTCAAAGAAAGAATACGCGGAGACCCTGTGATCACTGATCCATTGATTTCTTGGTAGCGAAGTGCCCCATTGCTAGATATCGCCAGGAATCAGCTGGATGATTACTTGTCAGGACGTTATTGACATGCTTTGATCAGGGATTCAATCAGTCTGCCTTCTTCATGGGGTAATTATAAGGAAAGTATTTTGCTAAACTTAAAGTGCTACAAAAAACATGTGGCTATTATTATTATCATAGACAGTCTCTGAGGTGCCTTGCAACTCTTTATTTCTCTGACACTGTGATATACTTCTAAGGTTAGTAATACTGAACTATCTGACAGAGTTAGGGAATTTCCACTTCTCTAAGGCAAATTGGAAAAATTCCTATGATGCTAGACCCCAGGACTAAATTACAGGGGCATGGGGGTGATTCCTTTTTTTTTTTTCCTACTTCTCCATTAAAAAAGTGCTAAGAGAAAAGGTTATTATCTTACTTGACACCCAAAAAATTTCCACTTGCCTTCCTGGAGATCCTCACCCTGCCTTCTGATTTCAGCACCTAGCACAAAGTCCTCAACTGTCTTTACATTGAGTGTTGGCTATGAGAATCATACACAGAAATAGAGGGAGGCAGGACACATGGTACCACTGAATGATAATGCTATTTCTGTTCTGCTCTGCAGTGGGGATTTCTGAACCCAAACCATTAATTTTGTGTGGGAATCGAGCATATGGAAAATCTCTGGTAAGTAAGATAAATTAAGCTACTTATACCTGCTGTGCTATGCCTGTCCTCCTATGTGCCATGAACAGGGACACTGAGTGTCCTTTGTTTTAGACCTAAGAATGATAGAAAGGCATCTCACTATTGAAAACTTCTCTGCTTTTAAAACCACTTGGTTTTTACCTTACCATATAATCTCTTTTGGCAAGGGATAGTTACATATCACTAACAACTCTCTCTTAAGACAATTCAGTTCTAATGCAACTGGTCTAATACAGTAGGGAATGGTGCCAAGTTGGTCACGAATAGACACAGGGGATGTTTTTGTTCCCTCTTGTCACTAGCTCACACTAGGGGGCCTGTAGTGGGGAAGAGGGGCGGGCAGTCCTTCAGTTTGCCAAGTCAATCAATCAACAAGCATCTGTCCAATGCCTACTAACTTGATAAAGTTAATTACCCCATGAAGAAATAGTCTTTCACTAAATCATTTGGAGAATAGCTGGTTAATTACCAGTTACATTTGAAAGAGTGATGAGGCTTTCATAAGAAAACCTCAGCTAATCACTTAAGATAAGAATTCCTTTTTAAATTTTCTGCCAAGGACTCCTTTGTATCTGAACAAATTCTACAACCCCTCTTTCATTTTTTAGATGTTAATATCTCTCATGCAGAGGCAGCTAGGTGGTACAGTGGATAGAGCACTGGCCTTGGATTCAGGAGGACCTGAGTTCAAATCCCACCTCAGACATGTAATGCTTACTAGCTGTGTGACCCTGGGCAAGTCACTTAACCCCATTGCCTAGCCAAAACAAAACAAAACAAAACAATATCTGTCATGCAGCCTGCTTGCCTTGGATTCTCCACTTGGCATTCAAAGACCTCCATAATCTAGCCCCCTTCTGCCTTTCAAGTCTTCTTACACTTTACTCCCCAACATGTACTCTTTGCTCCAGTAACATGGCCTCCTGGGTGTTCCATGAATAAGACACTCTGTCTCTAAGCTTTGAGTATTTTCTCTGTTTGTCTCCCATGCCTGGAATGCTCTCCCTCCTCTGTTCTGAACCCTGATTTCCCTGACTTCTCTTAAGTCCCAACTAAAATCCCACCCTCTATAGGAAGCTTTCTGCAACTCCTCTTAATTCCTTTTCCCTTTTTTAATATTTCCTGTTTATCCTGTATATAGCTTGCTTTGCATATATTTGTTTTCATGTTGTCCCCTCTATTAAATTGTAAGCTCCTAGAGGACAGGGGCTATCTTTTGCCTCTTTTGCATCCCCAGCACTTTGTATAGTGCCTGGAACATAATAGGCACTTAATAAATATTGATTGATTGGAGTCAAGCTCACAGTTTAAGATGACATGAGCTCAGAGGTGTGAAGAGATCTTGAAAAACCTCAACATAAGCTCCACTTTGATGCACAGCTCCAAGAAAGTCAGTTAATCTCCTTCTGTCTTCTCTGTAAAATGGAGGTGGCAGCAAGGTGACACAGTGGTTAGAGTTCTGGGACTAGAGTCAGGAAGATTCAGCTTTCTGAGTTCACATCTGGCTTCAAGACAATTACTAGCTGTGTGACCTTGAGCAAGTCACTTAACCTGTTTGCCTCAGTTTCCTCATCTGTAAAATGAGCTGGAGAAGGAAATGGCAAACCACTCCAGTATCTCTGCCAAGAAAACTCCAAATTGGGTCATGAAAACAACAATAGCAACAAAAATAGAGATATTAGTACTTGCACTCCTTCTATCACAGAGTTTTCAGAAGCAAGACTTTGCAAATCCTTAGATACATACAAATATGAGTTGCTATTGCTTCAGAAACTGGAGTCAGAGAAGCTGTTATGCCAGTCCAGATAAGAGGTGACAAAGGCCTTCACCCGGTCATTGTTGTGGGATGGTAAAGGAGGTACCTAGCAGTCTTTTTCTAGCAGTCTTTTCAAATGAAGAATCAATAGTACTTGATGATAAATTCAAATAATAGGGATGAAGGAGAAGGAATAGTCAAAGATGACTCCAAGTGCCAAAACTCTTCTTTCATTAAATGATTGTCTCTCTGCTGCTCTTTCTCTGCACTTTTAAAAATTCAATTTACAAAGTCTCCCTTTAAGTAAGTTCAATCAATGCCATTAGAAACATGGGTATATAGCCATATCCTGACACTTTTCTTTCATCCTTCTGCATGGCACAGATATCTCAGACCTCACTACCAGTGCCCAGGATTACCGTGAAACAGCCTCCTGCCAATGAAATTGCAGCAGCAGAAGAAAGTGATCGCAGTCTGACAAAAGAGTAAGTTCTCTGAGTTTTTGAGGCTTCGTGGCAAATGCCTGTCTGGAAGGAGTAGCAGGTGGGCTAGGTCAGAGGTCATCAAGCTACTCAAAAACCTTGCCCATCATAAATCACCTCCAAATGAGGGTGGTAAACTTCCTCTCTCTAGAGCTGCCTCATTAGTTATTTCTCTAGGATTGGGCTGAAGTACTTTTTGATGGAAATAACTCCATTAACTTGGGTGCTTGTTTTAGAGCTCAGACTCTTTGGTAATGGATATATATATCAATTTGGTTTTATTTTTTGTGAATTTTTTTCAAAGCCAGTCAACAAGCATGTATTAAGCATTTTCTAGGTGCCAGGCCCTGAACTAAAGCCTGGGGAATGCAAAAAAAAAAAAAGGCAAAAAAAAGTCTGTCTTCAAGGAACTCATGCTCTAAAGAGGAAGACAACTACAGAAAATAACTACGTGAATAAATAAATACAAACTATGTCCCCTTTAGAGCCCCAAATGAAAGTATTGGTATCAAAATTACCTTGTGAATTAAGGGTGGAAGATGCTAAACAAAATTCTTTAATTCAAATCAAGTTCATTTAGGTCAAGTTAAAACACTAGTATGTGCTCAGTAGTACTATGATAAATACCAAGACAGGTAGAAGTCTACATCACTCCCATTTACACACTCTACATTCCAGCCAAATTGAACAACCAGCTCTCACCTTTGTGCAACATGCATGCACAAGGGCCATCTCCCACGTACTCCCTTCTCACCTCCACCTCCCATAAGCCTCATCTCCCATCAAGGCAACACCAGGACCACCTCCTTAATTAATTAGTCCTTCTCCTTCACCCCAGTTGTTAGCATTTGCTTTCTCTACAAATGATCTCTCTCTCTGTAATATAGTATATAATATAATATACATATAGTATCTAGCAGTAGAAATCAAATTTGGAAGCTGGGACTTATCCATTGCAAATCTTTCTATTCCCAGTGCCTAGCATAGTGCCTTACACTATCAGGCAGTCAATATCTGTCAAACTGAATTACATCTGTGAAAGAGGGCCTACCTGCAAGGAGTTATCAGTCTAGTCAAAGAAACAAGAGAAACACGGCTGCAACCATGAATCTAAGACTGATACAATTAAATGCCAAAATGAGTCAGAAAATAAATGCTATATAACAGTTAAAAAAAAAAACTGATGAGATCAGTGTGAACAAAAACTACTTGGCCAACTAGAAGAATTTTTCAGAAAGATTTAAAAACAGACTTCAGACTTTAGCCAACACCTGGGGGTGAAGCCAAAAGAATCACAGCAGCTGGGTCCCCAGTCTTATGTTAAGAGACTTTCCCCAAAGTATGGCACTGAGCTGCATATTACTTTGCATGCCAATAGTCACAGTTGATTTCTACTGGTAGACAAGCAGACAAATGAAAATCATAGCATTTGAAAACAGTCTGGACCCCTGGTTCTAATACACATACATTTCCATTAGTTCCATGACACCAGACGCTGAAAAGAAAAAAAAATTAGACCTTTTTCTCCCCTAGCCTCCCACGGAAACTTTTAAAAATCCCCACCTCTCAGAGCAGGTATAGATAAGGAAGGAAAAGAAGCCCTCCTCACTCTGTAAAGAATGGGAACCAGGCTATATTGCATCTCTTTGCTTTTATTGGGCCCTGCCAAGCCTCCTCAATGTGAGCAGGATAGAAGTAGGGCTTGAGACCTTGAAGCACCTGACCTACCCCATGCAGTTCCATTCAACAAGCATTTAGTAAACATCTGCCATTTGCTGGTATTTGCAGAGTGAATAGAGTTCAGGCTTGGAATCAAGAAGACTCCTCTTCCTGAGTTCAAATCTAGCCTCAGATACTAGCTCTGTAACCCTGCTAGCCTCAGTTTCTTCATCTTGAAATATGAGCTGGAGAAGGAATCGGCAAACCACTCTACTACCTTTGCCAAGAAAATCCCAAATTGGGTCATGAAGACTCGGACACAACTGACCCACAAAACCATTCTCAAGCCATTGTACCAGGAACTAGGAATCCTCTAGCACCCCCATAGTTTGCAGTGGGTAGAGGGGAATATAATGTTCAATAAATAAACATGATACAAGGTAGCGCCATGTGAATAGGAATTGTTTCATTCTTTCTATTTGTTTTCCCTACATAGTAGTCACTTAATAAATACTGGCTGATTGATTATTGATTGAAGGTAGAGTATGATAGGGGCAAAGGCAAATTCGAGGAAAAATTGACCCTAGAAAGGTCATACTATCACCTCAGGGCATCAGAGGTTTTTTTTGAAGGAAGAGACATCTAAATGAAGCCTGGAAGAAAGTGAAGATTTGAACAGGTTGAGTAAGGTGGGAGTGCATTCAGTCCATCAGGCCAACAAGCACTTATGCCAGAAGGGACAGGATGGGCTAGATAGCCTGTAAAGCCCCATCTAACTCTAAATCTATGATCTGATAAGTTAATATTAAATTTAATTTTTAATTAATTAATTTGTAAATTAAAATTAAAGTCATCCATTTCTCCTGAGTTTTGCTGTCATTTCAAGTGGTCTTTATTTATATAGTCACAGTTATTGTAGGGGGGTGTGAAGGGACTGTCACAGACCTTCTTTTTTTTTGTGAAGCAATGGGGTCAAGTGACTTGCTCAGGGTCACACAGCTAGGAACTGTCAAGTGTCTGAGGTCGGATTTGAACTCAGGTCCCCCTGAGGGGACTGGTGCTTTATCCACTGCGCCACCTAGCTGCCCCTGTCATAGACTCTTTACAGATAGGGGCACAATATTTTATTCTTTGATATCCCACGTAGTATTCAAAAAACAGATTTTGATTTAAAAAAATCAAGCACCTTTGTCAGGCACAGTGCTAAGCATTGGAGATACAAGGAGATCAAAAAAAAAAAAAAGCAATGGTCTCTGCCTTCCATGAGCTCCCATTGAAGTGGAGGAGACAAAAACAAATAATTGTGTAAGTAGGCTTGCATACATACTCTGCACTATAGAATAACAATTATAAGTCCAGCTTTTGATAAAGGCTGGAAAGGTAGGTTGCAGTCAGATTATAAATGTCAGGCTAAGACAATAGGAAGGACTGAAGTTTTTTCAACACAGAAAAGAGCCTGCTCCACGGGAATAATCTAGCCACCTCTGTTCTTGCTGGCATCAGCCTGAGGAAAAGGTAATATGACAGGGGCAGAAGAATTTTTCTCCTCCTTCCCCAGAAAGGGGCATTCCAGATGCAAAAGGAAAGAGATTCAATATGATTGCAATGAGGCAAAGAGTAGAAATTCTTTCTGTTCCCTCCTCCACCCCTCTCTTTAGACCTAGAAGACTGGCCAGGAAAATACCTGAAGATGATCCAGCTTTTCCCCAGGGAGCAGAAGCCTCTGTACCGCTGACAGGCAGAACTGGCTGTGGCACCCCCAACATCCTCCGGAAAATGTGGATGAAGCACAAGAAGAAGTCGGAATATTTGGGAGCCACAAACTGCGCCTTTGAGGCTGACTGAAAGGTGACCTTTCCTCCGCGTGCTGCTGAGTTCTCCAAATTTCAGATTGCTTTTGCAGTGGCACTGGTCCTTTCCAACTCCAAATAATAAGATCCTCTAATAACCGAATAACACAAGGTGTTGAGTCACACCCTACTCTCCTAGTGGGTAATATAGAACATACCATTATTCCTCCCTTTCCACAAATCTGCCTCCCTTGAAATGGAGGAAAAGGATTTTCCCCTAAGACGAGATAGAACCCATCTCTTCTTAGAAGCAGTCACAAGCCTGAAAGGGATCTTGAGTTGATGTGCATTCCATCCACCTGTTTTCCAGCACAATTTTGTCTGATGCAAACTTCTCTTTCCTGTTTTTAAAGACCTTCATAGGAGGTCTCTTCTGTAGTTTCTCATCTATACAGTAAGGGATTTGGGTTAAATCAATAGTTCTTAGCCTAGGGTCTTTGACCTTTTTAAAACAAATATATATATATATATATATATATTTTGATAACTATATTTCAATATAATTTGTTTCCTTTATCATTCTATGTATTTTGCTTTGTGGGCAGCTAGGTGGCACAGTGGATAGAGTGTCAGCTGAGGGCAAGTCTCTTACTGTTTGCCTCAGTTTGCCTTAGTTTCCTTATCTATAAAATGAGCTGGAGAAGGAAATGACAAACCACTCTAGTATCTTTGCCAAGAAAACCCCAAATGGGGTCACAAAGAGTCAGACAACTGAAAAACAACTCAACAAAAAAAAAATTTACTTTATGCATTTAAAAACAATATTCTGGGAAGGTGTCCATAGGTTTTACCAAGGACAAAAGGGTCCTTGACACAAAGTAAATAACGATAAAATAGGTTAAGAACCCCAGGATTAAATGATTGAGCTCTAAGGTTCCTCTACATCTAAAGCCTATAAGAGTCTTCAGCTTCCCTTAGTAATCTGTTGCACTGTTCCTGACTCTGACATCATTATAAGGAATGGATATTGAGTCACCAGTGAGCACAATGGTCTTTTGTATGTCTCTTGCCACATTCACTTGTTTATTCATTTCTTTTTAATGAGTATTCATGTCTGGTATGATAAAGCACTAACAGATAGTCCTTTACTACCTCCAAATCAGCTTCAGTTTGTCATCAAGATGTTTCTGTCATGACTTTGGCCACCATGGCATATGTGGATTCTTAGTACTTTTACATGCAAAACATTGTGGAGAAGTGACTAAGAATTAAATGCTGAAAATCAATATATTCAGAAGCATCATAGCCTAGTCAGAAAAAATAATACTTTATATTTGTATAGTGCTTTTAATTTTCCAAACTGTTTTCATATCCACTATTTCATTTCATTCTCTCCTAATTCCTATTAGGCCAGTAGGGTAAGTCTTATTATCCCTGTTTTACAGATGGGAAAACTAAGGCACAGAGATTATTTAAGTGACTTACTTGCCACAAACAGCAATTTAGTCACCTAGTAGAACTCGAACCCAGTCTCCAGTATTCTTTCCATGATATCATGATAAGGAATGAAGAATCTGTCTTTGCCTAAGCTCTACAACCTAATTGTATATATGACCTTGATCCTATCATTGACTTTGTGTGCGTGTGCCTCTTCTCCCCTCCTGCAAAATGGGGAAAATAATGCCTGCTCCCTCAGTATTTCAGAGTATGCTGCAAGAACAAATGAGATCATTTTTGTAAACATTTAAACCTTCTTCAGCATGAGTTACTATATCATGATTTCCCTTTTGCAAACAAGTTAGAACTTGGAGGAGGATAAAGTAATTAAGAAGGACCGGATCAAAGATTTCTAGTTTAAGCAACTAAAACTGATACGTCTATAATGATCACCCTAAAATAGGGATTCTTAAGCCCAGTTCCCTGAATTTATTTTTTTTTAATATTTTGATAACTATCTTTCCATATCACTGATTCCTCCATAATCCTATGTATTTTATGGTATGCGTTTAAAACATTGCTGAGGAGTCGGTAAGCTTTACCAGACTGTCAAAGGGGTCCATGGCACAAAAAAAAAAGCTTAAGAACACCAGCTCTAAACTGTCTCCTCCAAATTTTTAGGAGAATATCCAACCATTTTTCTCTTAGGCCCGCTTCCCTCTTCCTTCTACTTTGGAGCAATATGCCTTAGTTTACATTGATATGACTAGGCAAAAACCTGCTTAACTATAGATGAACATAATTGCAGATACAAGACCCCCTTCCCAGCAGCCAGGAAGACTTGTTTAAATCACACACCATCCCCACTACCCCCGCAAAATATCTTGAAATATTTTTTTTAAATGCTTTCTGGCATGTGTTTGTTTAAAACATGCCTACATATGTATTTACATGCACATATATTTCTTCAGTCTTTAAAACTAATCTTTGACCAAAGAAAATAAATCACTTTTGAATGAACCTCTGCAGTATGATAGAGAAAACCAGCTTTTTGTATTTGGCAGAAGAGATTACCAATAACCCATTAGAAGGTCTTTCTTTGTTGGTGAAAATTGAAAGAATGATCTTTAAAAAAAAAAGCATTCTGCTTTAAGCTTAAGATGACCTCTGTTTTTCTTATCATCCCCCTTTTTGATCAGGTTTAGAGGGTAACTTAATATTTTCTTTCTTTTACACAACTTTCTCTACTGCCACTGCTTTGGTTTACACCTTAAGTCCCAAAGTCTTGTTTGGGCCATTAGTCAGAATGTGTTTTACTGTATAAAATGGACGCATGGTTTTGACCATTGCCACATCACATAATACCAAGCTATTTTTTAAAAATCTCAGGCAAATGTCTTTAAAGCATGACTACCAAGGGGATAAAAGAAAACTACCTGGGTAGCTTGTTCTGGTAAGATAGGCATTACTATTCAGGCCCTCCCTGTCATATGAAATCCTTCTGAAATCATAGATTTACAGCTAGAAGGACCTTTGTGGAATCATGCTGTACTCACACAGGAAACAGCATGGCCTAGTTAGCCCTGCACCCCAAGAACACTGCTCATTCAGTGTGACTCAACCTTCATACTTCCTTCACCTATAACTAGGGCCACCAACTCTGACCTACCTCTCAGAAAACTTTTGTACAAATGAACTAATTAAACACTGCAAAATTTTGGTGGTAGGCAAATTGGAGATGTGAACCTGGGGGACGTTAAATTATTTCCAGCAAATGCTCCCTCCTTTTTCCTTTAGCAGCTGCTTTGAAGGGAGTTTTCACAACTGAACGGGGAAAAAAGGGACAAACCCTTTAAATATGGTTCAGTGAAAAGAGCACTTAACTTGGAATCAGAGGACCTGAGGTTGAATCCCACCCAGCCCAACTACTTAAATTACCTGTGTGACCATGAAAAAGCCCTTAACATCAGTTTTCTCATCTACAAAATGGGGGGGAGGGAGGGAAAGGGTTGAACCAAATGTCATCTAAGGTCCCTTCCAGCTCTGTATCTATGACCTTTTGAAAGAATCGGTCTCACAGGACTTGGGTCTAAGTTTATGCACATGAGGTAAATGATCATGTATGTGGAATAAGATTTCTTTTTCTCCTTGGTAATCTTATGGACATTGTCATTGTCTTTTTCCCCCAATATTTGCTAAGTATTCTCAGGTTGCATAGCTTGCCACTGTGTGCTCTGCACTAGAAAGTTCAGAACGCAAGAAGGCCTGGGTGCCTGGAATACAAAGACAAAAAACAGAACAATTGTTGCCCTCAAAGGAGCTTACATTCTGCTGATATCCATGTCCTGGTTACAACATGGATTTGGGTTCATTTCTTAAGGCCCACACTACTACAAGGAAATAGCTAATACATGGCTATTCACTGTTCCCAACCTTCAATGTTAATTTGTCCCTAAATTCCCAGATGAACCACAAGTCTAAAAGTAGAGTGACCCAACCTAACCCATCAAGGCATGAGGAGTAAACAGAACCATGCCGCCATGTCTTATGGTCTAACCCACCAAATTCAAATTGTTGATAACCTGCCCATATATCCCAAATACAATTTTTAGGCTTGGGCCTTAAGTGCTGTGATGAAGGTCTACTTTGTGTTCTAAATAATGGCACATTGAAGCTATCTAAGATTTGGGCACTGAAAGGTTGGAATGAGACTAGGGAACGGTATCCAATCTACCAATCAATAGTTTGAGATGTTATCTATTTTCGTTTTAATTAATTAATTTATAACAAATTTCAGTACCTGTACATGGGGAATTATGCAAAATGTAACTTATTTAATATTTATTTATATAATGCCAATAGAGTGCTGTTCTCATGTGGTGCCTATTTTGCCTCACTCATTCAAATAAAAGTAGTAGGTATGTTTTGTGTGTGACATGAATAAAAGCAATAGGAAATGCAGAGGAGCATGTGATTCTTTTTGGACGAGTAACAAATTTTTTTTTCAGATCATCCCACAGAAGGAAAACAAATGTGAATCTGGTGCTGCCATTGCACCTTTCCCTAAGTTAGAATGAATCAAAGGATTCAAAACATTCTTTCCATTGTCTGGTTTTAATATTACTAACTCTGCCCAGGAAATGCTTCAGCCCTGGCATAACACAACAGCCTTCCTCTTCTTTTGGATTTGTGCTACATCTCTAAACCCCTCAGTCAGTAGGAAAAGTCTCAGAACACATTGACCATTCAACTGTCTGGCTAGGTCTCCATTACTGGAGATGAGCGATGCCAGCTCTGATTCCCATTTCACACTCAGTCCCATCTGAAACTTCCTGTGTGAATAATGCCCCAGCCACTTGCTAAAGACAAGGCCAACTTCCAGGTTGGTTGGTCTGGGTGGTGTCTCCATTCAGAATGACTGAAACTGGTGTTTTCTCATGCCAGAGGAATCAGAATTTCCAGGACTTGTAGGGAAAGAAAATAACCTCTCTTAGGACCAAGTCCAATAAAATACCTCAGTTCTTACATGAGGGCTCTTTGAAGCAAATCCTCATTTCTTTCCCAGCCCACAAATCCCCTGTAGAATTTGCAGATGGGCAGGGGGTAGGAAAAGCTGTTTCAGATGAAAGGACAAGTTTAGAATAAATAATGTGACAAGATGTCTATGTTTTCAATTTGGGAGCAGGGGGGGAAACAGGAAAGAATCTACACAGACAAGAAGCATGGCTTCTCCTAAGAACTACAATTTTGTTCAATATTCAAGTTGAACATTGACCTCAGATAAATTCAAACTAAAATTATAAGAATTTCAACTTACAGGGGCTTTGTAGTGAATGCATCACTGCTTTACAAATAGACTGAAGGACAGAGCTCATTCTGAAGACTAGTCATTAAGACTTACTTTTTGGCACTTTGGATTTGGAACAAGTCCAGATTCATTCATCCATCCATCCATCCATCCATCCATTCATTCATTCATTCATTCTATAAACATAATGTTACAGGATAATAGATTTGATCTGGAAAGGATCTTTTGAGGTCATCGAGTCTAAATTCCCTGATTTTACAAATGAGAAA